GCCAAAATCGCTTAGGCGGTTACAGCGCCAAATAAGAAGAAGAAGATTGAACCGATTTTAAAACTATGGACACAGTTGGAAAAGTGATTAAGGGACCTTTCATTCGATATATATTTGTGTATATAATGTATACATATTTTGAGAAAAAGTACAAAAACCTACTTATGGCAATTTTTTTATAAAAATGTATGTTTTTCGTAAAAAAATACGTGATTATATATGTTAACAAATATGATTATCAGAAAGAGCAAAAAAATGTCTTCAATTTTATGTATGACATGTAACAAAAAATTCTTCTGCGCTTAACATTTGTTTAAATATATATTAAAATATCGTTTTATATGAAAAAGAAAAAGCGCCGCAGGCAACAATTTGGAATAAAAAATCCCGCGATGTTTTATTCCAAATTTTCATTGGCTGTATAGTAAACTATCGTTTTATATAAAAACTTAAAAAAACGCCGCAGGTATATATGCTTTTATATAAAAAAAAAAGAAAAATGCACCGCAGGAGAAAATTTGGAATAAAAAATCGGAACAACGTCGTCTTCGTATAACTTACGTAAACTTTGAAACTTTTTTAAAGTATGCGGGAATCTCTACAATCCCCTGAAACTTCAAAATGTAGACGAAAATGATGATGATGACAATTAATAATGACAATTTAATTGTTCAGAACTTTTGTTGTTTGATATTGAAAATAAGAATGTGTATATGAGTTTGAGTTTTGAATTTTAAAAGTACATTAGTAGGATTCATGAAACGTCGCAAAGTTGTTGCGAAATTTGCCACCTTGTGACACAGCTGATTACTTTTGTATGGAAACTCTACTGCGACAAAATTGCGACATTGCTACAATATTTGAGCTGGCAATCACTGCAAGTCGCTAAACACATGGGCGCGTATTCACAGTCCAGCTACTAAGTCGAAACTAATAAAGGCGCAACTTAAATTTAAGTACCAACTTAGTATTCACTTCTATTCATAGTCGCATTTCAAACTTCTACTAAGGGCCGTTTGCACCATGTCTAGTTAACGCTAACTGGAGGTACATCCTTCAGTTAAGCACGTTAACTGCTTTATCGATCACATGTTATATGAGGGGTGTCGATAACGTCGATAAAGATGTTTAACTGGGAGTTAGAATTAACTAGACATGGTGCAAACGGCCCTAAGTAGTTTTAACTTAGTTTTGCGATATAGCAAAACGAGTTTAAAAATGTATCGATTTTTCTTTACGATATTTTGAAAAAATTACATTTTTATTAAAAAATGTCAAGTTTGATCATCCGTTTAAGTAATTTTTACTTTCATTGCATGTTTATGCAAAAGAATAGGGGTGTTCACAGTTCGTTCCAAATTGTGTCTGAAAATGTAGACGTCTACATTTTGAGACATTTTTAGCATCAAACTGTGAGCACCCCTTTCTAGCAGTCGTCGCAAAATCGTCTCAAAACTTTGCTGGTGTTGCCAGACATTTCTTGTTTGCGTGCATTGTTTATATGTCGCCTTTCGATTTTGTTTCTGAAAAATTTTAATTATTTAACTTAATTACCAATTCGTAATATTTGTTATTCCTTTTCCTTGACTTGTTTCTTTTCATCAGAAATTGCGCTCAAATTAAATGCAAATACGG